TTAGTTTTTATGGTGTTTACTTTTTCTTTAAATGTGCTTCACGTTTAGGACAAGGAAATTGTTTTCTAAATTTAAATTAAGCCACAAGAATCAATTTTTAATTACCTGATATTAATGGTTATAATCATTATTAAATGTACGGAGTGAATATACTGTATATCACCCATAGAGTGGAAGTGACCAATATAATAACTTTTTTGCAACATATGAACCTACAGTGGCTTTGAGAGGCAAAAAAAGTAGCAAATAAGGTGAATAAATGAGGAAATAGATTGCTTTTTTCCCTGTAACGAAACCTTGACCTGATAACGCCTCTGGAGGAAATGTTAAGCGGTCCCCAAAGTTATTACCATTCATCTTGAGTGGAGCAGATATCTGCATACAATTTCATGGCCTTTTAGTGTGTAACTAAAATGTCAACCAGCTGATGGCACAAGAGGAAAGGTCAGGGGGATCAACAAAGAAAAGAAAGTCAGCTGAAAACCTTTGATAAATATTTCACTGGAATGGCCATCACGACATTTAAGCTTAGAATTAACAAAGTAATTTATGTTGTAAAACAGAGTTTTAAAATGTAGTCAAATGTAGTCAGTTTAAAGGCTCAGTGTAATTGTAGTTAATGAGATTAAAATAATTTTTATATTACATGCACATTAACGTAGCCATCCAGAATCAAGTCCTGGACATTCCAAGTTTGTGCAGTACATGGCAGTAATTTCACCTGTTCATGACCAGGTCTTTCATGAACATCTCTTTCAAGATTTTCTGTCATTGAACGCCTGGATCAAAAAGTGTCAGAATTCTTTCAAAGGCAGGAAGAAACAGATAGATCTCAGCAGGCTGTGGGGTTCATTTGGACGACTGGCTTGGCTACATGAAAATATAAGTGGTTTACTGCTCTTCAGTTAATGATCTGGTTGCATGTTCCTTTTTACTGCACCTTCAGCAAGGCTTCTCCTAGTGCTGCATTAGTGATAGATCTGTGGGCCGCTGCCTGTCACGGGGTCTTAGCTGAAATAATGATACGGAGCAGCCCAGCACACTGAAGTAATAGTAATAACTGTCAGACTCCGTCTCCCATCAATGCTCACATCCTCCTAATTTAGGATTAATTTGTGGTACACTCCAAAAAAAAAGGGTAGCTAAATGTCTTGACATTTTCTTTCCAGTTCTGAAAAACTATGTTGCTGCTAATTGCTTTATTTCAGCTGCTCACTTACTGTGCTGTTTTATGTTTGAAGCTATTAGAGAAAATGGGTACTTTCCTTTTTAACTCTAGAGTGCAAGTAGAAGCTTTTCATACTTTTCCCTCAGTACAGTACTTGTGGTGGATTGGACTGGTTGTTACTTTGCTTTCTTTTTGTTCCCCTGGGAAAAAATACTTGATGTCGTTCCTAAAGGGGCTGACTCCATCTTTGTCTTCGTCGTCTGTCACCTTCTAATAATTTCCTCCTCTTTTTTTCTCCCTTTTACTCCAGAGCGCTGCTCAAAAGTGCAATGATTACTTTTCTATCTTCTGGTTACAGACACAAGATATCTGTTTCTACACTGCTGCATGATTCAAGGATATTTCCGCAGTGGTCCAAACATTTTGGAGCAGTCAACTTATATTTGCAGTTTGAATGAAGATAAGGAAGTAATTTTTGTATTTGAAGACCCTTTTTTATTTAGTGAAAACATATCCCTTATTTTGTTTTGGGCCTTTGGGCTTTAATTATATTTTTCCTAGGTGTGCAATTAAAAACTACTGATTTAAACTTTTGGCCCTTTTTTAAACAATTATTATAATGTCTCTCATCACGTCTTAAACATTGCTGAAATCACAATGTTCCAGAACTGGCCATTGATCATTCTGCCTCCTCAGACATAATGACCAGCAAATCAGGCCAACTTTTAATTGAAACAGCAAATTACTTTGAATGTTTCCTGCCCCAAAACAGTGTGGGTGAAGTCATAGTTTTCAGCATAATTTAATATCATTGATTTGTTGTCTTCTCATTGTCACCAGCAGGCCTTTGCCATTGATTAGGACTCCCTGAGTTACTGTGGTGACCAGAGTTAGTCAATGTGTCTGACCCTGGAGGCAGACTTGGTCTTCCCAGTGGAGGACCTTTAACAACATGCATACATCAGCAAACCTCCTCCTACAGTCTCCCTGCTTTTACCACGCTGCCACCGAACCACCTACGCACCCTGGTGGTGATGTAACATTGATCCGCGCTGTCATGTATTTAAGGAAACAACACATTATAGCTCAGAATTTTAATGCGTTGCCTCCGACCTTTGTGCACTTTGAACAGAAATATTATCCCAGAGTGTTTACAACCGAAACATCCTCCTGAAATCACAAGTGTTTTCAAGGATATGTACTGTACTTCTGATGTTTTTTTTCATGTACTTAAAAGTCGAGCTTCTCAAAGAAAATACCCACCGCTTATCTTTAATGCCATTGTTGTGATTGCTGAATTCAAAGACCAAGAAAATACTTTGAATTATCCTTTTTTTCTGCCCTCTGATATGTTTGACCATAAATGTTTGTGTCTTTTCTAACCCATGTATAAATATGAAACATGTATATGTATAGGCCTTGCTGGATGTTTGCCTCTGTTTCCTCTCCTTTAATCCTGTTACTCTGTGCAGCTCTGTGAATTCTCTTTTTCCTACCACTGGAAGACTGAAAGAGTGAGATAAGGTTTGCGTGAGAAGATAAAAGCTTTATTTCAACACTGTTAGTTCCCTATAGAATTGGCACCTGACTGTTACTGTCTTCTAGCTTGGTTGCCATTTTTATTCTGATAAAATATTCCTGAAAATCAATATTTAAAAACAAATCACTTAATAATAAATATGATTAATATAGAAAATGTTGGAGAGACCTTATAGAATATTTATGTCTTATGTTTTTTTTTTCTTTTTACGCAATGATCACTTTGAAAACAGACCTATTTAACTTAATGATTCATTTAAGCACCTTATTAATTTTGCCCCATGCAAAAACAGGCTGAGCCCCCGGGGGTAGAGAGGGTGGCTCCTCTGCTCTCTGTGTTTTATGACGGTCATATATTCTCAGAGTTACGGCTCAGAGAAATAACTGTTAAAGTCTGCACTACTTGGGGATAAAAATTACAGTCTGAAACAAATTCCCTCTTGAAAGGAATAGAATATTGATCTTCATCCAGGGGCTGCTTTAAATGTATGAAGCTTCAGAGGGGTCTCCTTTAAATATATTAGTCATTTGATGGTGGAGACGTCTTCTCTCTGCTTATGTGTTGGGGGACACAAAGGCGTGTCATCATCATCAGGACAATGGTAGGACAGTATTGGTTCAAGCTTCAAGGTTTCTTCAATTGGCATTGTATTTGCATACAATGGACTTTAAGATGAAGTCTGAGGTAGAAGTAGAACAGCTGCACTTAGGAAATACATTATGGAAAAATACTACAGTATATTTAAAATAAAAATACTGTAATTAATATGGTAAATATGTAGAATATATAGAGGTGGGATCCATTACTGCTATCATCATCTCAATAAAGGGCAACAGTGGAAGTACAAACTCTATCTGCTCACATTTTCTTAATAGTAAAATGAAAAAGTGCTAAATCAGTCTTTAACCTCATACAATTTTAAACTATGTTAAAGTTCTTCCTAACTTCAGAGTTACTTTCAAATAAAACATGTTGGTGTCTAGATATCTTTATCAACTCTCAATCCAAAATCACGTTTCCACTGCTTTGCCAGTGAAGAACTACGTTATTTTTAACATCTAGTGCAGCCAGAAGTTTGTGGGCAGGACTTTGAGACCTCTGCTCTAGAGGAACCATGGTCCCAGAATCTAACCATAATGTGTTGTGGTAAAATACATAAAGTACCCATCATCGCTTCTTTAACAAATGCTTTTGAGGCTCACACTATATAACAAATATATAACATCAGGATGTGCCATCAGAACATGAGCATGAATGTGTTCCTTTGATTTAATCATTGTACCAGGCACCACCAGCACCACCACCAGCAGCAGCAGCAGCAGCAGAGCTGTTATTATATAGTACGGTGGACATGTTTGATTTTTGTCATCTCATTAAAAAGATTCCTTTCCTCCCTGTCCGTTTTTTCCTTCTTTTTTTTATTTTTATTTCTAACTGTCTGCAAACTTCTGGCGAAAGACTTTGATCTGCAGTTTTGTCAGGTTTTCACATTGTGTTGACAACTCCTGTATCCTGTCGTTATTCCCAGGGGTTGTCACAGTGGAAAACATTTTTCTTTTCATTTCCTGTGGGACTGAAGTACTGTACAATCACTACATCACTTTACAACCATATGTGTACTCTGAAGTCGTTTTTGTTTTCTAAACATGGCGTCTTTGCCACTGCATGACATTTAAAGTGAAGGTGAATCCTGTATAAATATATATGTGTACTGTATGAATAGTATTAGATTATGGTATTACATTTAAAGATCAGTGCTCGAGGGACTCGTGAGCATTAAGTGAATCATTAAATGCAGCACTTTATCTTAAAACAATGTGGACCTGCGACCGCCGTGTATTCTTTACTGTCCCAACCTGTGATTGATTACGAGTGTCGCTGGCTGACCAGCTTATTAATCGATTCTCCAGAACCTGAGAGTCCCCTTGTGGATGATTTAGGGCAAAAGAAATTTTTAGTGCTTCTGGGATGGCTGAAGTCTGGGCGCGCTGAAGCTGGTTGTAAATCATGTTTAAACACTTCCTCTCTTTTTAAACATTATTTGTGAGCAAATATTTAGAGCCCCAATTATTGGACAGTGGACACAATTATCAGCAAAGTGAATATGTGATTGAATGCAGTAATATTTGTAGACTAAAAGTAGACTTTCTGTGGCTTCCCTTCTTTGTCTTTACTGTTGAGCCAGGCTGTGAAACACGTCTCTCAACCAACTATTTTTGGTAAAAGGGAAAAATGCCAAAATTTTATTTTAAATATTTGACTGAATTTGCTTTGTCCTTTTGTATTTTGCAGCTATCTACCACCTCCTCATCCCGGGCTGCCTTCCTGCAGTGCCTCCGTTGGGGTATCTTTTGCCCCTTTCAGTCACCAGCTCAGTGGAAGGGAGAGGAGATACAGCTTGTTCTGCGAGGAGGTGCAAAGCCAAACCCTTACGGAGTCATGGTCTACAGCACAGAGACGTTTGCCAAGAGTCATGCCTCCGTGCCACTCTCAGCTGCAGGCACAGCTCAGGTAACACAAAGAATTCCCACAGGAGTAGATTTTTGGATTTTCCTCTGGATAATGAGGCAATTTTAGTCCCTTTAGCACAGTGGTTCTCAAATGATCCAGCCTGGGGATCCATATTTATCCTCAGTCACGTAGTCACAAACCCACATGTTTCAATCTCTTTTGTTTATGTCCCAGAAATAGTGTACGGTGCCTTCGTGACAGGGCTGGATGACATACAAATTCATATTCTGGTATTTAGCTGGTCTAATGACAAAAGTGAGAACCCCCAAAAAAGGTTGCATGTCTGCAGTTTATTTTTGTGCTTCAACATTGTAACTATTGTGAGCATTCAAAAATGTCTCTGACACGATGCTCACTCTGTCACTGTAGGTCTCTGCTGCTAGCTCGCTCCACTCATACTGTAAAATAGGGGTAGATGCAAAGTTCACTAAGTTCGGTGTTGGAAAACTGCACGAAGATTTAGCCAAGTCAGTAAAGACCTCTGACTGAGGAAAGGCTCGTACAGTAAACCTGTAGCATTAAAACTGTCCAATTCCATATTGTTTTAATGCATATTAACCTTGGCTTATCCTCCTTGAAAAGGACTGGTTTGATGTTTCTGGTTAATTGTCCCTATCACATCGTTCTTTAGGGCCTCAATGCGTCAGAGACAAATAATTGCCCATACGTCATGTCTATTTTGGGAAGGTACCTATAAAGGGTGCAAAGTGTGTCATCTCTACTTTTCTCACCTTAGCTGTGAATACTCACACCCTTCCGAAAAGTTGGGAAAAACCAGCACGTCATGGTTACGTGCCCTTTTTTAATGCCTGCTCTCTTGTCTAATACAGCTGTAAGTATCTGTGTGGCCATAACTTTGTCTCTCTCTCTCTCTCTCTTTCTCTCTCTCGCCAACAGCCTGCATCTGAAACACATGAGACGATAACTTTTCGGCTGACGTCTAGTCTGAACAGGAAGCTGTCCAGCCCCAAGGCATCTCTGAGGGCAAGGCAGGAAGACATGTCCTTTGAGAAGAGTTCACCTTCCTCACCTTCAGATGGTAAATTATAAAACCTCAAACTGCTAGCAGTGCTAGTCTCCTTCATATTCATTCATTTAAAGCAGTAACAACACAGCAGTTATCAATTTTAGTGTTCTGATTTGAATTTCCTGGTTTGTAATTTACAACTTGAAAAAGGGCTCAGTGTTCTGATTTGGTCAGAATGGTGAAAGGAGCTTGAGCCAAACTCAGTGTAATTGTTTTTCGTTTGTACGAGAATCATGGGGTGTATGGGAGGTTAAAACGACATAATAAAGGTGAAGTTCTGTTTTTGTTCTAATTGGCAGCTGGAATTATTGTAAATTGCTGCAGTTTTTTAAAGAAAAATAAAAATGACACAGTAGATTCCACTATATTTAATGCTTAGGTAACAGTACTCAGTAACCCTAATGGGTCCAGATATATTTTGTTGATGTACCCCAGGTGTTCCAAACACTGAGCGACAAACTGATCTGCCCTTTGCATATGATGCAGCTTCAACCTTTGCAGCGTTATCTCACTGGCAGCACATGCTCTCCACGTGTTCAGAAGAATTTATGATTAGTGGGAATAGTGAGATAAACTGGCAGGAGAACACACTGATCGTCCATTGAGGCTGTATTGATCTTGAAGCATCCCAAAAGTCAAATAAATATGAATAATTAAGTAAAAAATTGATGGATGTCAAAAATGTAAGGGCTGTCAAACATTTAAAAATTGTTATTTTACTCAACTACTCTAATGTACTAATTCACTCAAGCTGTTGGCTAATGGTGATTAATCACGGGCTGTTGGGGATCAGTTGTTACTTGTGAAGTTGGTCTTACACAAACTGGACATCGGACCTGAAGTGGAAGTCTGTGGTGCATGTGTGAAATGAAAATGTTTCCCCACAGCATGTGCAAATAACAGCATGTTTAAGTGGATGGGAGATCTATCTAGCTACCCATGTTTTTAATGTTTTCAATATCATCATTTTTTTTAATTTTAACAATACAGCAGCCTTTTCTAGACCACATAAATATATTTAATCCCTATCGTCTCTACTGCCCCTCCAGAACTCCAACTTAATGTGTGGTAATCTTGGAAATCTGACAACGCCAGATTTCATATTCCACCGTGTTTGAGTCATCACTTTTATTCTCTTATTTTCACTTAAACATGACAGTCTATTGATAGGCTGAAACACATTCCATGAATCTCCGACGTTCCACTCGCTGCACACAGTCCGAGACGAATGATGTGCCACTGTCTGGGACAGATTATTTGTCTGTCACTGTCTGTGTCTCTCCTCCAGTCCCACACTCATTCTGTCTCTCACTCAGCTGATTATTAGTGTAGTAAACACTATAACAGCCACTCCATCTTAGTGACAGGGGAAGAACTTCTCAGTAGACTGTGGTTACACTCTCCTCCTAATGACACTGTGATCCTGTCTCTGGAAAGAAAAATAACATTCTTGCTATCTGACTTTATTAGGCCGAAGACAAAGACTTTGAGAAAAGTTTCCGAAAAGTATTTTGACAAAACTCAGGCTGGAAAGAAACCACTGGTTGCATGCATTTTTCATAGATAGAAATGATTAGTTTCGTGTTTTTTGTTTTGTTTTGTTTTTTGAATATAGTATAGTATAATCTAAGGACTTGTTTCCATTGTTTAGGTCGCAGACACATTCTACGAGCTTCGCCACCAGATTCTCCTCCAGGCCCCATGGTAAGACAATCACTGACATACTGTACTCAGCCTGGTGAAACTCTTAAGGCCCTCAAGGCCCAGACTGCTCTATGGCACAGACTCACGCTCCTTGTTTTATTACTTTTTGTCTTTAAGGACTGTGCTCTGAATAGTGCTCTCTCTGTTAAATCTTCGAGGTGTTACTGAACTCTGGACCTGAACTTATGCAAAGATTTGAGCCATGAATCTGTTATTTTGATTCATTTTGTGACTTCTAGCTATTAAGTACTTTCCTTAAAAGCTGCAAAAAAAAAAAGAAGCAATTTTGATGTATTTTGTAAAGATCAGTATTACTTACATTCACCCCAGAAAAAAAAAGAAAAATAATTTCTGCTCAGCCAAGAAAAAAGCCCATTATTTGTCCAACAATAGGGAAATTCACAGTATTAGTACTACTACTACCACTACTGCTACTACTGTTTGTATGATGTTTACAGTTACCAGTAGGGCTTGTACACACTAACTGTCTAGTTGGGGTTATTTGAACACAGCAGTATTACAGAACAAAGCCAGACTTCCTCCGTTTGTCCTAGCGCCAAGCCCTCCAGAGGCGAGCATTCACCCAGACAGTGTCGATGTTCGAAGGTCATTTCCTGTGAAGGACACCTCTGATACATTGACCTCTGCAGCCAACAAACCAAGAGAAGTGGTAATGATAGACTTAAATGCCTCAAATTACTCAGTGGAGTGTAATGTTACTGCTGATCAGTTTTATAATGATAGTTTTATTACACTGTGATATCCTTTAATTTGTATAAGGTGAGCATTATGGCACAGATGGCCTGATTCCAATACTACTCATATTAAAATAAATGACATTTGCCAATTTGCACAATGCTTTGACCAGCTGGGGCTAATCCACAAGATATTGCCACCATTGTGTCTCATCACCACACACACGCACACACACAAATGTACACGCTCAGAAACAACACTTTAACAGCAGAGCAGGAGACAGATCGGCACTCTTTAGGTGCGAGCCAGTGCTGTCAACTTCTGTTGTTCTGTGTTTTATCATCAACCAACAGGGACTAATAGCTGCGAGAATAAGGAACCAATAAACTTGATACATCTGCAGTCTTTAGCCGCGGAGGTGGCAACTGGTCGTCTGCCAGTGGTTGTTGATACACTGTGGGTATTCTGGGCAAATCCCAGCAGGAAAAGTTAGATTAGATTGTGATGCTAACATGAATATTCTAGTCTTCCTTAACAATATTTTGTGACTAGTTGAAAATGATCACATTGATTATAAATAGCATTTCTTTATTGGTCTCGGCTGCCCGGTGGCTAGACTGTAGTTTTACAGTTTGTCTGTGTGCCAAGATTTTCCATAAAAATGTGACAGGAAACAGTGTGTGAAGTGGAACCACTGCTGTTGGCAGTCAACACTCAGTCCATCACAGCTCCATGGTGTTACTGATATTGTCTCACTGTTCCTCTCTGCCGCCGTTCAGTGTCTGTTTAAAGTTAAAGTTACCAGAATATGTTGGTAATTGTGAATCCTAGTTAAACGTTTAATAATCAATAGCATCCTTTTCTGAAACGGCTCTCAAAACAAGCCGTACGCTGCGGCTCTGTCTGCAGGCTTTGTTGGATCTGACAACTTTCTCTCGGTGGCATAAATTATTGATCCTTGACACTCAGTTTGCCATGGTGCTGAATGCTAAACATGTGATGCTATTTATAGTCAACATTTTTGGAGTGCGGCTGAATTTGTTTTCTTCCTGTAGATGGTGATGTTTCGTGGTCATGTCTCCAGGTCGTGCGGAGATCTTGTTGACCCAGTTGGTCTCGGTGTTCAGGGGGAGAGAGTTGGTCTTGTTTTTCCCGTAAGAAATGGTTCACTCAGAAATCAGTTTATTTATTTTTTACCGTGCTGCACTGTGTTTTTCTCTCGTGTATAATTATTATATTTACATGACCAAAAATGCAAATGTTGTAAAGTTTAGATTTGATCTATGGAAAAATAGATATTATTGGTGGAAAGCACATATTGATTTTCCTCAGATTGCAACAGAGTTGCGTGTTGCATGATAATTGGTCCTTGGAGATTACAGGTCGACTGCTTTCAATCTCTCTGTGATCGATCCAGGGGATTGGGGGCGGGGGGGGGAGGGGTGTAGTGCATGTTTTAAAACATCTTGATGTCAGTTGATTAGTTGCATTTTAAACCAATAATCCTGCTACTGGTTGATTTGTCTTTGTATTGTTTGGGACTGGGTGAAATCTACAGCATTGCATTCGTTTGCTGCCAGATCAGTGGGGGCAGTGTGACTTTACAACATGTAGAGGTGTAACATCACCTCTTTATGTGTGATACGAAGTAGCAAAATGTTGAGTTTATTGTCTCATAGTGTCTGGCAGTGTCCTGCTGCATCACATGTATCTGTTGCCAACTGTGTATATCAAGTCTTAGTGGGTTCTACTGCAGATGGTACTCATGCGTTCTAGTTCCGCCATGTTTACAGAGTGTAGTCAAGTTTAGTTAACGGAGGATTGTTAGTGATTCTGCTGAAATTACAAATTGCAACAAACTTAAAAAATGAAGCTTTATGATTTTGTTAAATAAAATTGGTGGGGATTTGTTGTTATTTTGTCAGGATAAATACATTATGAATGTACAAATTTAAATTTTAAATTGCATTTTAAGAGATAAAACACATTTACTAGTTATTAGATTTGTGTATACATGTGGTCCTCCACCTGTAGTACCTATTGTGCGACGCTGTAAGTCAAACTCACTTACTGTACATAAGTACCCACGTCACTCACCTATGCTAAAACAGTATGACATTAGAACATTAGAAGATTCTGATTTACACTTGGGAGCCATAATGAAGGGTAAATGTTCTGCCTGGCCTTGAATGATCATCAGCTGCTGACTGAATCTGAAGGCCTTACAACAAGCCAGCTGTTAACCTGCTTTTACAAATATACTTAAATGCTTTTGCTTTTTTATTTTGTCTGACAGAACAGAATGCACTGACGGTCCATTGGTTTGACGTCTCCAGACTGTCATTGTCACTTCAGTTGTCAACCGTTCAAATCATGCCTGTCATCCAATCTGTCTTTGTCACTGATGACTCGTTGACTATAGGACGTGAAAACACACCCAGTGATATACTGTAGTATTTATTAAAAAGAACATGAAGGGGAAAATATATTAGTATAAAACCACGTGACAGTGGTAGAGATCAGCTAATGAATTTATACATTTAAGTTATGACTCATTGGAAAAAAACATTTTAAAACTCCCACACATTATGCTTAAACTGTGTTGATGATACACAAGTATTTCTTTCTTTCTTTTTATACTAACATTAAATTCCAGACAGTAACTCCAGCCATCAAAGAAAAAAGTGAAACGAGGGAAACTCATTTTGGCCCAGTTATCTAAATATTAGTTCTGGAACTGGAATGAGGAAATATAATGGATATACAAAACCTAACAAAAAGGTATATATATACTGTACAAATCAAACACACACAGGCTGCAGTTTGGCTTTTAGAGTCACTGACGGACTCTGGCTACAGTGAAAATTCTCCTGTACATTTTAAAAATTGAATTCAATATTTCTGTGGTTTTGCCTCCTAACTGCCCGGTCATCATGCAGAAGTCCAGCTTTCCTGCTGCCTACTGACTCCCATTGGAGCCTGGCTTCCAATGATGGCTGGCTTTCATTTTTGCCTCATTTACCCAAAAAGACTCTAGTGAAAAATGCTGTCCAAGTGCTGCCCCTCAGAGGCTAGCTGAGGCTGAGATTCAACATGGTTTAATATACGGCTAAGTATAAGACAGTGATTAAAGCTGACTCTGGACAAACTGCTCATTTATTTGATAGCAGTTATAAGCATTTTAGTAAAGGAAAGGTGAGTGAAACTGTATATATTTGACTAATTCCTGGATGGCGTTCTGAGACTGTAGTGATTACTTTGTGATCCCACACTGGAGACATTCTTCTTGTGAGGAAACAACAAGGGACAGAGATAAAAAAAACAATGCAGCAACGTATGATAGAAACTGACTCTTAAATGCAACAAAATACTACATAGAGTGCAAAAATGCAAAAAAAGTAATAATACAAATAGTGCAGGAGTAATAATAATAAAAAGTAAAAGATACCACATTACTCGGCCTGGAAAATGATTGCACACAAAAAATATATTGCATTTCACAGTGCAAATACAGCACTGCATACCATATATAGAGGAAACAGAGCTTCCATTGTTCTGTTAGAGTAATGGTCACTGCTGTAATGTTTCTTTTATTTTCTTCTCAGTTCTTTAATTAGTCCTAATGGTTATTACTGCGTCTAATGTTTACTTTTCTCAAACAAACTGACAGATTCCCTCACTCAGTGAGTGAATGTTTCAACCTTGTCTTCCACATTTCTAACACATCTTTTCTTATTTCCTTTTCTTTTTACAGTCATCAATATATCATTCTAACAACTTTTTTTTTGTTCCCTCACTATATCTGTTCTTCCTCCGTCTGTCTCCTAGTTTTTCCCCTAACACCTCAGGACGAGCTCCACTCCGCACTGAAGCTGAGGCATTAATACAAAGCTCACACACACGCCTGACTAGTTCTGTGTCTGTGCAGCTCACAGACCCATATGTTATTTAGTGGACACATTTGCATGCTGACATACAAACACGATGGCCTCATGCAGCCGCAACAGAACAGATGATCTGCTCGGCTGTCAGGGCAAACAGGTTGACTGTTTGTGTGTGTGTCAGTGTGTGTGTGTGTGTGTATGTGGGCAAAGGCTAGTGTTTTGGTGACTCATTGTGAAATTGTGTGCAGTTTGTATGTGTATGTTTTTGTTTGTGAAACGTGGAACCACTTAGCAACTGTTGCCCGACTGATCTCTTCATTTTGGTGCCTAAAATTAGAAAAGTTTACCTCAACACTATATTTAATATATATTATAGAATTAAACATTATACAAAGTGTGGAAGTGTTATTTTGTGTTTCAGCTCAGACAGTAGGATATTCCTTTTCTCCAATTAATTTAAGCGAAAAAAAAAATAGGACAAAAACGGAAATCAGAACGCATGAATAACAGTGTCACCAAACAAATTAGTGTCTGGAAATAGGCCTTTCTTCCTGTAGGGCTAGTTTGCTATTAAGCGTTTTTATTGGCCCCATGCAGCTTAACAGAGAAATTCAGGAGAAATGGGTGCAATCGGAGTGGAGAGTGCCAATAAATACATAAAAAAACTCAGAGCAGGCCTCTTTAATTTCGTCATTTAATCAAATGCTGCTCCATTAATAATGTGGAGATCTTAACAGTGTAAACATCATATATCTCCAGTGAAGACTTGCAACAGGCTGAAAGTGAATAAATGTAACGACAGTGATGAATATCTGCACTCCTGCTTTTCTAACCAATAGAATAATATCATGGTTAAAGTGGACTTTTTATTTTTGAAGTACGTCAGTGTTCTTACAAATACTGCAGTATTTATGGAGTTTTTTTTTCTGTCTGACTTATCAATGTGAAAACATCCTCGTTCACCAGTCAATGTGGTTGGACTTACTGGGTCCTGCTCCCACAGAGCCACGTGTTTGGACTTTGTTAAACAGTTGCAGAGTAATGCAAGATTTGTGGTGTTCACGTTCACCGATTAAACATCATACAGTTTTGCAGGAGGAACGCTGTCCCCGGTCCGAGACGAGGAAACTTGTGGGCAGCATTTCACGACTTAAATGCAAATGCTAAGAGCGATGTGCGTGAGGCTGAGACAAAACTCTTGTCTCAGTGAATTCCATTGACATGTTGCTATACGAAAGAGATTGATGAATTGCAAAAACTTTAGCTTGTGCCTTTAAAACACCAAAGCAGTTAAGATTTACTGCGTTTTCTCACCTACAGTCCTCGGTCTTACAAAATGACCTGAACTGAAGGTAATTCTCTGATTTCAGCTTCCTGTTAACACAGTCAGATGACCAGTAATGATTGATTTACTTGTTGCCCACTGCGCTTAACCCACGCGACAACTGCAACAACAGCAACGGCGACGGCGACTCCATGGCAACAATCCTTTTGTTTGCAGTCAAAATCCTTCAGGGGCGATGGCAGTTTTTAAAGATCGTGGGCGGAGGAGCGGGTGGAACGAGAAGGGCTTATGAGTGTTGAAGAAGTGTAATAGTCTCTTGTTGTCATCTGAGATGGCTCATACGTCTCTCTGGTGTAAAGTATATTTCCTGAGCCCTGTTGTTCATAATCATAATAATAACACTGAGTCATTTGTATTGTTTCTCCACAGCTTTCACTGTCTCAGCTGGCAGCTACATCACGCTACCCGACCATCAGCCACTCCAGCTCTGTGTTGCTGTGGCAACAGTCCTTTCCCTCTCCGCTCCATCCTTCCCCATTGGCATCAGCCCACCAGCTGTCACATGTCGTAAGATTTCCACCCCCGTTTGCACGCACACACAAACACAACCTCTTGTACCCTCACAAATGGTAGTCATACAGAACTTTCGCACAATGTGGACATGTCAATGAACAGTCATTCATTTTAGTTCTGTAGAGTTCCATTTACAGCAGGAAATGAGAAGTCTGGAACGTACACTGTGTGACTTTCAGAAAAAAATCAGAATAAATTAGTACAGTAAATATATATTTAATATTATTAGTGTAGGTAAATCATGTTAGCCTGCCCAAGATATAGATTGAGTGTTGCATTCATGGTCTTTTGTACTGAAGAAAATTTCTGATTATTTGCCCTTTGTGATTCTTTCAGTTTCTCCGTGTTTCTCAATGACCACAGACTGGGCCACTCTTTTTATGTACGGGTCCCATGTGGCCAGGGAACCACTACTTGCATCGGCTTTGTCTAATAATTTAGCTTTTATTTTTTAGACCTTATAATCTTTAACTTGCTTATCACATAGGTCTAACAGTTGGCTCTCCAAGAAAGACCTTTTTTTTCTGCAGGATCCTCTATCCTGAATAACCTTGTATTTTGTCCCCTTGTAAAAAATGCTTAATCTTGCTTGTCCAAAACTATACTCATCAATGATTTACCTTTCCGTCCCTACATTAAACTGTCTTTATGTATCACCTTCTGATTTAAAATCCTATTTGTGACCTTAAAAGGGTCACACGGGTTGTTTTTCATCTCCTTAAGTTAAGTTTGATGGAGAAAAAATCCCAATGTGTTGTTCTTTTCTACAGACCCTGCAGCAGCAGACCACAGCACTGCCCTCTAAGGAGGTCAAAATAAATGTGTCCAATTTCGGCAAATTCCTTTTTTTTAATCTAACAGAGCCCAATGAAATAACACAGAGATGGTAATGAGAATAACGTTAGAGAATATATCTGGTGAGCTCCGCTTTCTAACAAGCTTTATGTATCTGAACAAAGTTTTCTCATTGCTGCCAGGGGATCACAGGAATGAGAAAGTCAGCTACACTGTGCTGACTTTAATACCTCTCCTGGACAATTTCCTCAAACGATGCAACGCAAACCAGTCCGCCAGCAGCTTTAGATGTTTGCTGCTGCCGTAGGACCAGCAGACAGAGCCAATTTGCTTCTGAAAGCCACCTTGTTTTCGCTCATTTAGACGCCTTTCACCCACAGAGATGCATACATTTCAGAGCTGTCTTACAGCACTGGACGAGGGGCGGTGTAAAATCCCTCAGAATGGTGAGAAAATCATAATGCTGTAATCCAGGGGATTAACCCTGCGTCTTTTATTCCTCCTTACCAAAGTCGACTCGCACCTTTTGTATATGATATGCACCGCGTCTCTTTGAAGTAGAAATCATTTCATCATCACAGCAACACTTCAGCCGTCTGTGGATTTGTGTGGGGATCTGTATTTGCTTTCACTTCTCTTGGATGCGTCGGCTTTAAAAAGATGCTGTAAACATTTTCTATTTCTGTACACAGGATACAGTATTCAACTCCCTTTCTTGTCACATCTGATGCACCTGAAATCCTCAGTGTTTACTCTTACAGATTAGTTTGAATGGCTATAGCTCCATCTTCAAAATGCTCCAACTTACCACAATTTTACCTTCCCAAATTAAGACTGTGGGAATTGAACGCAAAGGAACAAAATGCATAAAATGGACCATGAGTAAAATGTAAAGGACCTCACCCTAAATAAATTAAATGCCTTACTTGCTCTTTTTAGATACATATATTTTTAATTATCTTTAAGTTACCACAGATGTCTTGTACATTTTGTACACAGTTTCTACTTAATCTCCAATGATATATAGATAATATATATATGAATATATCTATATACACATATATTTAGATTTATGTATCTAAATATATATCGAAATATATTTAAGAAATAATGTATTTCCAGCACACGTATGTGATGCCCCTCCACTGTACGTTCCGTAAATGAATATTAAGGGTTCACTAATGCTGCATTCTGCAGACAATTCCACTGGAACATCTTCGGGTTATTTATTCAAATAAATACACATTATTATTGAAACCACAGCGAATTCATTATACCTCCATGCCATTAGTTTTCAATTATGACACGCTAGAGTGAGTTTCACTGAAATTCTATTTGCATGTAGGGCTTCGTTATGTCACTTAACAAAAATTTATCGTCCCACCTTTAATTTGTCCTTGACCATGATGCAGACAGAGCCGTCACTAAAAGCAGTTTCTCATATTTCACTCCACAGCACAGTCTCAGTGTCTGCAGGCCAACGTACAGTATGAGGCAATTACTCTGAGCTTTTTAAATCTGCCCTGACTTCTGCTCCACGCATTGACATCCACTTAGGTTATTATAGCACGGACTGTTTAATCAGAGTAGGAACGGCCGGCTGTTATATTCATGACACACCATGACTGTGGTCAGGGTTATTACCACTGTGTTTGATGAAACACTCAATAATGTGCAGCCAGGCATGATGGACCTGCTGACCTTTTCACACACACTGGAAACCGGAGGGAAATTAAGTTACTTTAGTGCTAAATTAGCTCTTTCTGGGTAATTATTTTACCCACATACATATCCCTCCAGTTAATCGGTTTATATGTGATTTCAAATGAAGGCAATTCAGTGTTTCTTCCTCACACCATGTTGAAACTGATTTAGAGGCGTACAGGGTTTTTATTTTCTCAAGTATCATATATTGTGTGGGTAAAGGTGGAAGGAATACAGATGAGTGAATATTTACCTCAAGTGTCTAAGAAAGCGTGTGTAGGAAAAAAAAAGGATTACATTTGCAAATGGTGACTACTTTCTTTACATAAATTCACCATCTCCAAAGTTTCTGATTGCAGTTTTCAGCACCGCAGTGAATATCAACTACTGGTTAAAGCATTGAAGATTAAAGCAGCAAAAAGAAAAAAAAAACAAAACTGTAATTATGCTGAAGCGATGATGATTAAAAATCATTAGTGTTGGTGTGAAACCCATGTAAAACAGGTGTCAAATCCGTCAACTCCAGCTGAATTAGGGCTTTATGACTGGCGAGGATGGTTGTTGGGAGTGATTTAGGGATGACTCTTAGCTTTTTGTTTTGAATTCACGTTAAGTCTAACCTTGACCTGAGATCAGCTTTTGTATTTATCTGAGAAACCGTCATCTTACACTGTATAAATATGTTCCTAAAGTTCACTTCTTCAGGACGTCATTAAACATATACATACACAATACATTCAGTAGATTATCTGCGCATTTAAACCGATCTTTTCTTCACTTTTTCCCCCAGGCCTTTCCCGCTGTCAGCAACATTGCCCATTTGGAAATTGACCTACAGCGAAAAGGAGATGTGTCCTCTTTGTCCCACATGGAAGGTGACCAAATTAAGGCTCTGCCCTTTACCCCTGTCCATGCCCCTGTCATCACTCCGGGGATGAATGTTCCTAGGTAAGACCGTCTTTTTTGTCTTATTTAAGTCGTGGTCAATAATGTGTCTTTAATGTGAGTTTTTTGTTTTGTTTTTTTTGTAGAAAACACCTTTGAGTTACTGTGAACAAAATACACACACTCTCACACACACACACAAAACAATTTTGGAAGTCCAGTACTTATGTCTCTAACACTTATCCTCTCCAGAAAAAAAAACGAAAAAAAAAAACCAAAACTACTGGCATCTTTTTAGTGTTGGCACCAGCTGTGTCATTTCAATTGCAGTAAAGAGACCAGTAGATTCTTAGCCTAATGCACCGACCAAAAAAAATGATAGATGCCTGCAGTATGTAACCTTGAAAATCCATCAGCTGAGCACTGAGCACTGCCAATCAGAGAGCAATGGATGTTTTAATTGAATCAGCTTAAATACGCATAAGAGGCTCAACTTTACAAAACAATTGTAAATATTGGTGTTTAGAAATACGCATAAGAGGCTCAACAAAACAATTGTAAATATTGGTGTTTACTGGGCTGGAGGTTCCGTACTTGGCACTCATTTCTTAATCCATTACCGATATTGCTATTCATGTGTTATATTGATCAGCTTACTAATTGGTAGCGTGTGTGCAGTGCACTGTATCGGACAGAAATGAAGCAGGAGTTCATACAGTACAGTAGCCTCTACTGTACTGTATGAACTCCCTGCTTCATTTCTGAGCTAAGGCATCGCTGCTTCTTCACACACAGCCAAAAGAACTTGTGGCCCGTGGTACTATTGACCCTGAAGAAGTTTGAGTAAGATTACCATGTGTTTCTGCTAGAGACCCTGTTGATATAAAGAACAGTACCAACTGAATATTGATAATTGTCAGAAATAGGGCAATGACTACATCTGACGTTTTTCACTTCCATTAATTGGACAATGTTTATTATTGTTATTATGTTTATTCATATAATAGAAATTACCTTAGTGGACTTAACAGCTTCAAGGCCAATTCCATTTTTTCTAAATGATGTTTGTTCTTCCAAAGAAATTCATTTGGCAGATTTAAAAGATTTTAAGGTAATAACACTTATAAAAAGTGAACAAACCTCCTGTATGACATGGCAAGTGGTGATTTTGTTTTTCATAATTTCATTACATTAAGGTTTTATCTTCTCACAGATGTGATATTGTGGGCTCAACTGTTACCCCACCAGTCACACTGTTGGTAACATGACATAACATGACATGTCATTATGATGACAGGACTCAATACACATCACTTTCCCACATGCACTTCAGGGAACCATCTGTGCATTGTGTCTATCAGACCACAGTGTTTAGTGGCAGTGGTGGAAATATAAGTTATGAATGTCAGCACAGTTGCAGGAAAAACAGGTGGCCACTATGATTAGAGGTAAATGGCAATTACAGCAGAAAAGCCTGAGGGAGCCGTTTGGCGCTTGTTCTGTTCCCCTGCAAGTGTTCTTGCAACGCTGCTGCTGCCACTTGATGGATACAGCTGCCATCCTTCTGCTGCATAATCCATGCTTCAATTTTATTTTTTCAACATTCAGATGTTTATTGAAATTCAAGTCCAGCCGTAGAGGATGAAGTTAGTAAATTAAAGTTATTTCCCCTAAGATGAGCATCTTAAGTGAGAATGGAATAGATCCAAGATAAATAGTGCCTGTGTTTAAAAAAACAAACTGTTAGGGCTTTGATTCAAACAATTTCTTCTGCCTCACTGGAAACTACAAATCACCACCAAGAGGCCTGTGCTGCATCGACTCCACTCATCACCCCCTGCTGTTCCTGAAGCTCCAGGAGCAGCTTTCACAGAGCGAATAAGTGAAGATTTACTGTTTCCACCTTATTTACCTCCTCTAGACCTTCATCGTCCAGTTCCAGGAACTCTCTGGCTCACCTTCACTCTGCTGGGTTCCCTGAGATCTACAGCCGCAGTGGCGATATCGCTGAAGTCTTAGAACCCACAGAGCCAATGTCCTTTGACCCCCAGCTTGAGGAGAAAGATCCTCTACAGAGCAACCTGCTTGTGTTTCAGTTCTTGGCCTTCACCAGGTGAGGTGTAAACACTGACTGAGAAAAATAGCCCTTGTTTTAATGTTATGTGCTTTTACTACTACCTTGGTTAGTAGTAGATTGAACATAGACTGGTTCCTCTTGGAATTCAAATCAGAGCAAATTTTAACTTTATCCCTGGGCCACCAAAACACTGATATAAACTGTGTCAAACTCAAGGCCTGCTGGCCAATTCTGGCCCATCATGTAATTTCGTATGGCCCTCCGGAGCTTCACATGTCTATTGTTGTCAAAAGGTCTGTACAAATTTGTACTAGTATTAATAATTTGATAAACAGACACACAAATACATGCACACACAGTGCTATTTCTGTGTGCTTGCAGTTGTCGTCAGAAGTGTCAGGAGGTTAATAACCTCAAAACAGAGGCCTGTGTTTCTCATACAGAAACCAGCGTGTTGCCGTCTTCTGTTCTACCACCTCAGCTTCCTTTATTTGCTTGCTGAGATACAAAATGTTCTTCTCTCCGTGCAGCATATGAACAGATCTGTTTTCAGTTTTAAATGTAAAGTCCTCCTTGGGTGTTAATGAGGCCCATTAGCTTCATGTAGCTTCACCTCAAGCTGCTGTAAACTAAAAAAAAAAAACTTTTTAACTTGGGTATCTATCGGACTACACCTCCCACAATAGTTTGATTTGATTATAGTGACTTAGGCAAAATACTTAAACACTGACAAAATACACATTCAGCAAAAAAAAAAAAATAGCTGAAAATAATAATACACTCAAAAATTTGCCTTTTATGCTATACATCAGCAACAAACAAAAAAAAAAAAAGCCTGAAGATCGCTCCTTCTACTCAAGCTGCAATAAAACAATCTTTTCTTGAGGCAAGTCTGGGGATCGTTATGTTGGTGAAATTCAGTTGTAGTCTACGGTGTCATTGACTAGCCTGTGGCTCAGACACAGCCCCACATCAATGAAAAACAAAACAGATATTTAAAATGAGAAATTATGGATTTTACTTCATTTTTTTCCACATTGCAGTGCCATAACATCTTATTGATCCCTCTGGACATTGTTATGTCCTCATGAAACCCATCCTACATGATGATGACGACCTGAAGACACAAAGTGTGCACTGTAGGGTTAAAGTTGTCTCATAATTATGACAGAAATGCCAGGGTTTCATAAGCAGCCGTAGTTACATTTCTGTGAGCTGAGGCCTGTGGATAATTTCCAGCTTTCATCTGAGTGCAATGATTATCAGTCCTGTTTGTTTACATGGTAAATATTTACATCGACTCTTCTGTAGAGCAGGAGCGAGGAGTGAGACATCAAAACACGACGTTGAGTGAGATACGACTGAACAAACACTGTTATTTCACTCTGCTTTACAAACTCCTGGCTATGACGGCTGGCAGTAATTATTAGAAATATCCCAGCATGCAAATTTAGGGCATGTTCAGGTAAAAGTAAGCTTAACTCATGACTCTTTGTTACGGCCAATGGAGAGCAGTGTATAGTATAAGGGCGGTTTAAAAGTCAGAGGATATACCACAGCATCCAGAGGTATTGATAAAAGTAAGGCTGTTGAATTTCTACCTGTTAATCAGGTTAATTAATTTGTAAAGATTGATCAGATTAAAAATGTGTAAGAATAGGGAGAATAGGGAGAATAATCCTTTTCCTCTTATTATTTGACAGAACACCAGAGACAGGGTTTGGTCCTGATTGGCCAGACAAGATCCATTTCACATTCCAGTTCTATCGGTTCCCTCCAGTGACATCACAGCAGCTCAAACTCCTGACCAGTGACAGAGTGCAGCACAACAGTGTCGGTGCGGTGCCCTGTGTCCTCACCTCCATCACCAAACATGGCACCATCAACCCTGGTAAGAGTGTGTCACTCTTATTAGCATCATGTTGAGGATCATCTGCAGTAGGAAGTGACATTTACATGCCTTTTGGTGCCGTGATGTCTCCCTCTCAGTGTTACATACATATTAAAACAACAAGTGTCAACAAACCCCAGCGTTGTTTCCTGGTGTTCTGTGATACACAGCCACCTTCTGTTTCACTGTGTCTCCCTGCTGCTGATTGATGTCAAGTCTGTTCATGGAGCAGCTAATGAAATAGAGGAGATATTATAGCTTTTGACAGCGTTCGGCATCGAACACGCAAACACCCTCTCGTCCCCTGGTTCCTTTGCCTACCCCTACTCTCTATTCTCCTGACACACTGCAGACTACCTCCGTCAATATTTCTCTGTCTGTTCAGCATCTGTCTCTGTCTGTATCCCCCGAGGTGCACTGTTCACAAAGCCCTCCTCCATTCACACAGATCATTCTCTATATTCTCAGGATATGACCCACACCACATTCTCTCCCAAACTTTATTCTATACAGGATTTAATCCCATGTATTCAGTTTGTCTATGTTGTTTGACCCTTAGTAGTTTCTGATGCTTCTGTTTGAACATACTTTGTTCAATGCCACCGTAAAGAGATACTTTTTTATAGTGGGATTGGAACAGCTGTCGATTAATGAGAGAGAACTGGCTGTAGGTCTGTTTGGCAGTGATCATCAACTGGAGATCTGCAGGCCAAGTCTGGCTCCTGGAACTATCCATTAGGTTATTTGGAGGATTACGATTTAGTTTGGAGTTAGGATTAGAATTACAGGTGGGTATCAGGTATGGATTACATACAGTTGGTTATTGGATTAGACCCCAGATATGTTTGTGTTTTTCTAGAATTAGTTTCTGGTCAGGTTTGTATTAATGTGTTACAAATAAAGTACGTTTTTGTGAAATTCTCACAAATAATGAAAACAAATCATGTGAATCATGTGAAGAGAGAAAGAGATTCTAAGTCTAAGTCTAGAGTGATGGAGACAAACATTAAGGGAGAATATAATGTCTGGCTCTCAGCATCAAAGTAACTCTAGCAGAGATTCCCTGTCTCTGGGTCTGTTTCAGTCTGCAGCTCGCCTCAGTGTGGAGGTGGACAAGGCTTTTATGTCTCTTCATGCACTTATCACCAATAATTTCAGCCTCTGTATCCTCTTTGTTTTGACTTGACATTAGATCAGATTATGTGTCACACTGTGGCTGACACAAAAGAACATGTAGGATCTGATCTCTTTTTAAACGATGTCTCTGCTTCACTCGTAGAACATCACTTTAGTTTTTACTGCTCAACACTCACACGTGTATATGTCCACATCAATTGATCAATAAGGTTGTTATGATAAGCAACAACTTTTGTTCAGTTGGTCTTTACACATTAGTCTAGACCCAAGATAACAGTGTCTGGATATACTTGAATGGAGGACAGGTACGATTTCTACCATGCAACAGAATTATCCTTTAACAAAGTGCATTGTTCCCTCTGCATAATTAGTGTTTGATGAGTGGATGTGGCCCGTTACAACTGTGTTGAGACAAAGTAAAAGTATCACCAATTAATGTTTTAAATATAGGAAAAGTTCAGTTGTGCCTTTGCATTTATTATACAGTCAGAACGCCTGAGAGGCTAATTTGCAGGAGATGTTCCTAATAAAAGAACACAGTTTGCAGCCATAAATGCGACCTGGTTCTTCTACGCCGCTCCGGTTTGCACCGGTCTCTACGTACGTCTGCAGAGTGTTTCCTCATTATTTCTTCTGCCTGCAGGCTTCACAGGGCTGTTGTTGGTGCCCAGCAGGATTTTCTCTGTCTGCCTCTCCTGCTGTGTACACATGTGGCAGGTTATCCACTTTGTCTATGTATGTATTTATTTATTTATTTACCAACAAAGACCCACGCGTACACACAGAGCCACACTAACTGTGTGACCTATCCTGTGCGACCCTTAAGCCTAATCTCTCATCCGTTTCCCCACAAACACACATACATCATGGGCTCCTCACTTAGTCCTCTCCTCCTGTGCTGCCTTTGCCACCTGTTCTCATCACGCGAGCATAGTGCATGCTGGGAGAATTAATGGTCCAAGTGTGGGAAAAATGGTGGGTGGCAGGAGAAAGAGGAAGGTTTAAGGAAGGAGAGTTTTGAAGTGCACGACCGCTGGTTCTGACTCTGTATCTAACAGCCTTTCTATGGAATCAGTTGTGGAATAAAAATATTATCTGAGAATTTACCTGAAATCGATTGTGTTTTAGAATTTAAAAGCTGAGGAATAAGAATAGGAGTAAGAACAAAGCAGTGGGATAAGAAGAAAAGGAAGTTTAGGAAAAGAAGGGAGATGCCAAATTAGAATATAATGAATAATTATACAAATATTAAAAGTAATAAGAAGAGTAATCTGAAGAAAAAAATAGAAAGATTAAAAAATTGTAAAAGGGAATATGAACAATAGGATATGAAGAATAACAGGAGTACGATTATATGACCAACAATAAAAGGAAGAAAAAGAATGATAAGAGGTAGAAGAAAATACGAACAAGACTAGGAAGAATACAAATATCAAGGCAAGAAGAAGGAGAATAAAACTAAACAACAACTCAAGTTGCCAAGACAAAAGATAAATAAAGTTTGAATGCTGAGTCACATCTGAAAAATATGAAAAATTGATTGTCTTTTGTCTTTGTTGAAGTTTGAAACCAGTATTCCATTTAAACTTTTATAGGATGTAATTTGTCTATTTTATGATTTTCTGTTGAATTATTAGTACTTTACATGAATAAAACCTTGGAAATCTGTTCCGGTGATGCAAACACCACAGATTTAATTTCCTCCCTCTGCATGACTGAGAAATATAACCCTGGGAGTCTATTAGCACTCAATTGCATGTTGGGTCTCTTTTTAATGTAAATTTGTACATTACATAACCATTAGAGTAATTTTATTTTTTTTGCTTTTGATTGTTTTGCCTGAAATGTTATAACTCTTTTTGTGCGACTCTGCATGTGACCTTAAAGTAGACGGAGGAAAAAAAGAAATAAAAGTTAAACTCTGCACGTTGTCATCTCTGAAGTGGAAATGTTTGTTATTCTCGGCAAGGGAAGAAGTCTGGACAGGGATCTTATGGAAGCAGCTACTTCAAATGTGAATACAGGATTTTAATGGTCATTGTGTAACTTTGACTTGGGTTTTTATATTGTTTCTCCATCTATATAGTGATGTTTAGACAACTCGTAAAATCTGACAATATTACAAATTTGGGTTTGTTTTTTCCATACTTATACACTTCAAAAACACGTGACTATATTTTCGATTGCCAAATAATCTGTACTTTCCCTTTCAAGATTCTCCAGGTCTGCAGGTTCAGTTCAGAGTAGACGACGGTTTCCTGAAGCCGGGAGAGAGGCGTTGGTTTCTCCGTTACCTGGCTCTCCACAGCCTGCACATCGATGTCTGGGATAGTAACTCCTTACTCCTCATTGGATCTACTGCCGTTGAGCTCAAGGTAAACGACAAATGACAAATGTGTCAATAACACTGAAGTGTTCTCTGTTCTGTGATCCAGAAGTGGAACGAGGATCCAGACATTTTGAGCGGTCATAATGACCCCTCAACATTTTTATCTAGAGAGAGTGCTCCAGGTGTCATTCAGCAACATCTTTATCATGTGTCCTAATGAAATATGTAGGAAACACATGTTTAAGGAAAAACAAATGAAGGTTTTGAAGATTCCCTAAGCTCTGTTGTCAACCTTACTAGTTCTGTGTTCATTAAATCAAGGTGATTTAATGAACACACTTGACACACTTGGTTTTGATGTACAGGATTTTCCATCTTACAACAGGTAAAAACTGGATATATCAGTGTCAATTCTTAGGTTTGTCTCACTGTTCTGTCGAAAAGATCATTTTTATAAATTGGCTTTACGTTTGTCCTGTTGCTTGTTGTTGATGTTTTTTACCCTTTTATGTGATTTTAAATGTTTTATTTTGTTTTTGTTTTTTTCTGACCAGTACATGTTACGTCAAGGTAAACCAGCAGTGCAGGCTCTCCATGAAGTAGAGGTGCTGACCACAGATTATGTTGGAGAGGACATCCCTCTACCAAGCACAAGTGTAGGACACAAGTCAGCCTCCAGCCCTGTGACCGTCCACACCATCATCAGGGGTCGGCTGCACGTACGAACAGGCAACATAGGTGAGTAAATCAAAGTGGTTTCTGATCTGATTTCTGCTAAGTGAATATTGATTCAACAAAGGTCTTGAAACCTTGTTTGAGTTCTGACATGGCTGCTTGGAATATCCAGTGAATTTCCCTTGAAACTGCATTGCTCTTTGAACAAAAATAAAATTTACAGATCAGTGGCTTAATTGAAAAAAATACATTTTGGGAGTTATTATCTAAGAATATCCCAGTTGAGGTCAAGCATGTTAAAAAAAACAAAAAAACAAATTGACCTTTAAACCTCTCACACAGGTTTTCTGTTCTGTCAATAAATAAATAAATACATATGAATCAGATATGCAAACCACCCCACCTACAGTAGATCCTGTTATATAGAGAGATAACTTTATGCATGAGATGCATCGCTGAGTGAAGGCAAACACTAATAATAGGGCTGTGGTGTGGAGCTGTTGGATTTGTTCCCAAAGAATGAAGTCAGACTTCAGGAAAGCTGGGGAATATAATTGTGTTTGTTCAAAGTTTTAGGAGGATTCCAAAAGAAGAGTCAGCTCAGTATTATCCAATATCTCTTGAAATATTTACACTTTATTCCTGGGTCATATTGCATTTGAAGCCTTAGATTATAATGCCATATTTTCTGTTTGCTGTTTTTTACGTGCAGCTGGGAAATGACTGCTGTGGGTTTTACTGCTGCAGTCATAAGAGTGCAGTTTTTACACATGCTAAAGCTCCATAATGGTAGCTTTACTATCGTTTACTAACGTTATCGTTTATTAACTGAGGGGATTTGCTCATTGCTGTATAAAATCTGCCTTGTGTGCTGTTGTTGGTGATACATGTGACGGCAACTTTCTCACTGAGTTTCTCAGTTCACCTGGAGCGGGATGAAAGCCCAGTGGGTGATTGGGGTTTGCCTGAGATGGAAGGGTTGCCGGGTTTTGTCTGGCATGTAAATTCCAATCAAAGCTCAGACATCCATCAGGCATCTTGGCCTACAGTCAGAATCGATTTGGCAAGAGAGGACGTGCAACCACGTTCCTTTGTTTCTTCTTCCATCTGTTCTTCTCTTCCCCTCAGTCAAACCCCTCCCTTCTATGTGTCTGCTTGTTTTGGTTTTTTTTCTTCACTTTTTTGACTGAGAGCACACAGGGACACACATACAGAGCCTCAGATCATACCATAGAGCCATGCAGCCGTGCATACATACAGATTTATAGACATGAAGATGAAGCAGAGCATGGACAGGTTTAGTGCTGAGGCCAGAAGGCAGAAATCAGCTGATATGGTAATAAATCCCTCAGAACTGTCACGGCAGCTGACACAGATAACTGCCTGCAGTTCGGCTCCCCGCTGCACACCTTATTGCCATTCGCCATGCAAAAAAGGTCTATAGAAGGATTGAGTGGTATTTCAGTGAATTGGGGAAAATTCAACAACCTCTAAATCCCAATGGATGGTATCAGAAATGCACAGCGGTGGAGCTGAGAGATGAGTTGGGATTCTCTATTGACACTGTGCAGACACAGCTCCTGGGTTCAGCTTGAAAGAAGAAGGAATATTGCATAAAAAAGGGTGTGAATTAACAGTTTAATATATATATGTAAAAAAAAAAGTCAAGAAGAGAAGATTAAAAACTCAAATATTTGGTTTTGTTCAGTAATGATTCAGTAATGAGGTCATTGAGGTCAAGACCTGGCTCTATGTCTGTGCGGTTTTCTCCAGTTGCTTTAGTTTCAAAACATGTGCAGAACTAGTTAATATTAGTTAGAAAATGACCATACAAATATTACAAAATTGATTAAAATGTAAATCTGCCGAAACATCAGCGCAAAACACTTAAAGGTAGCTAATGTAATGCTAAAGGATCATAAAGGTTAGCAGAAAAAAAAATGGAGTCCAGAGATGCAAGAAACGATGCAAGAAAGTGGTCTTCAGTCCTAGCAGTCGTTATTTGAATGATTTTATGAGAACAACAAGCTGTGTTATTATATGACCAGCCCTAAATAAAGAAGTTTTACACAACGTATTAGTTTTATGATCATATTAATCATGTCATTATAATCGTCACTGTCACTCCTTTCTAATTTAATGTGTCCCAGTCATGCAGGCTATTAATCATTTCTCTGTTGGGAATTAATTAGAATTAAGGCTTTATTGGAAAAAAAGAGTGGCAGTTCATCATTTCCGAATGAAAATAGTTTAACCCTAAAATACATCCTTTTTAATTATCACACAGTGGGATTGACAGCCTAACTAATTAAAATAAAAATACATAAGGCTATTTCTACCATTGCACAAAGCAGGTTTTATCAAGAACGTTGTAAAGGCTCCGCCTTAGCAACAGCGTTGTGTAATTGTACATGGCACCTAATTGGTGGGTTTGGGGAACATAAATGTGTACGTGAGGAGTAGTGAGAAGCACAAAGCGAGTGAGAACAACCTACTTCCTCTGTGAAACCAAACCCCCACTGGTATATTGAAAGAAAATCTATGATGCTTCATGGGTGATCGTCTGAACTCGTATGAACTTTGAAGTGAAAATAAAGACGCAGGTATAAAAAGAGGAACTTCAAAGCCTGATGTTGTTGACCCAAAATAGAAAATGAGCAATCATCTCATTAGTTGTCTTCATTATGATGAAGCTCAAAGTCTTTCCAGGAGCAGTGGAAGTCTAAACACATGGTAGTTGGATACACAACATTTTATGGACTCTATTAATAATGCACTTTCTTAGTGACCTCTGATAGCACTTCACACTGCAGTCCAACCACCCACTCAAACTCCATCACTCACTGCTCTGTATCTACACTTATGCAAACACATATCCTCAGTTCCTATCACTCCATCTCGCCACAGACACCAGAAACAGCTTAATGGTAATTATCTGGTTCTGTGATAAATCTGTGAGTAGACCTAT